AGTATTCATTTAATTTAACAATTTATCTAAAAAAAAAATGAGAAAGAGATTCATAATCAAAAATAAAAATAGAAAAAATATATAAAATAAATCAAGAACAAGCTAGCTAGTTAACTAAGAAAAAAAATCTTTATTAAAAATTTCGAATCGTTCAGCATGTCAATATTTATTGTCCAACGAGATAACGATTTAGCGAGAAAAAAAAAATTTAAATCATCGTTCAAATTCGAATAGAAAAATAGTAAAAAGAAGTTAATCATCAAAATTCAGCTGATTTTACGACGAAAAAGCGATTAATTATACACCACAAATTTTGTTGACGTTCAAGAGATAATATGTTGTATTGAAATTGTTAAATGAAAATAGAAATCGGTAAATTAAGTTTGCTGGATTTACATTTGCCTACGTTTTTACGTCTTTGTGTTGTTCAGTCGTTTGAAAATCACACGTCGTAAGTTAAATGATACGAATAACGCGAATTCGGTGTAAAATTAAATTGTTATGTATAAGTCCAAAAGATGGAGAATTGAGTCTCTATTTTATTTCGAAAAGACTAATCCATCTTTGAAAGCGTCGGATTGTGATCATTAGTCGTTTTGCTTTAATAGCGAAATATGTCATCATCATTGATAGGTAAAAGAATGCACATTAGTAAAGAGTAAAATGGGAACCTTTGTGAAAGGCTCATAGAATATTATAAAAGCTAAAGTTGGGGCCGACGTTATCTCGTTTTATAGAGATTTGGATAAATAACAACCTGTTGACGACCTATTATGCGCGTAGTCAATCAACTGGCCAACTAACAAAAGACCAAACAAAAAAGACTTTATTAAAATGTCGATTATTGTCAAAACGCGTGAGTGTAATACGAAAATTAAATTAGATTCTGGCGTAAAACTCCAGTACATGCTTTCCCCCAAATAGACAACCTTGTAATTGATGTCCAATAAAAGATATGTATGCGCAAGAGAAATGTGTTTTTTAACTTAAAAGTCTCAAGATTGCATGTATTGTGGTAAATATATTTATTCTAGGCGTAATTCGTTGTTTGTAGACATAAAACGCAAATGTTAAGATAATCGAGTCATCTTGGAATAATTATGAACAACATTCTTTGTCAGTGTTTTTTTGTTCTAGTTATTCCTGGTTAAACTTTTAATTTATGCGCATTACGATTTCTTGATGAATTCTGGTTTTTGACATGTATTTCGAATCGGTTTTTCGACCTACGTAAATACTACATTTATCATTATTTGGTAAGTTTCCGGTACACAAAGATAAATATTCAATCGGTCAATTCAGTCAATTGCTAGATTTTAGCTGATTTATTATTATTAAATTTGAAATGTGAGAAAAAAAAGAAAAAGAAAAAGAAAAAAAGAAAAAAAGGTAGAGCGTTTACACAGTATAAACAATCGAAAGAAAAACAATGCGAAATGATTCTTTATCTAGAAGAAAAGTAGAGGAAACGTTGACGTTTTGTTGAGAATAGTACGGGAGAAACTGCTCGATATTATTTTCTGTTTGCTGCTTTCTAGGAACTAACTGTAAAAAGAAAAAAAAAAGAAATATGATGCGAATATGATACGAAATGGGTGTGTACATTAGTAATGTATCGCATGTAGATGTACATGTATGCATGTATTATCGGAAAAAAATTTGAATCGATCCAAAAAGTCCCTTGATATTTTGTTGCCCACGATGTGGTTCGCGATTTTTGCAAAACCACAGCATATTTGTTTGATAGATGCGATAAATTCAAATACAGCATATATATATAGATATGTATAAACGACTGAGAATCAAGAATAAAATTAAAAATTCTAAGTCAGGTCTCACAGAATGTGAAAAAAATTTAACAGATCAAAAGCGTATACATGTATGTTATTACGGTCGGAATTCATTTTTGTTTGTATTAGAAAAAATCAAAGCGAATATATTTACTATGGATAACCAAAACAAAAGATAAAAAAGACATGATAAATTGATATAAGATAAAAGATGAAAGATAAAAAGATGAAAAAGATAAAAAGATAAAAAAAAAGATAAAAGTTAAAAAATAAAAAGTATAAAAGGATAATTTCAAAAAAAAAATGATTAATGCTAGCTATTTTGATTGCATACTTTTTGCTCATGTGATCATAAAGATCTATCGTCTCATATTTTTTTTCATACCGATACATACAATGAATGTTGTTGGTATTTATATATATATATATATATATACAAAAAGGAGTAGTCGTGAAATGAAGTTTGTACTACATTCCAAACTGAGAATTAAATATTATTATCTCGTTAAGGTTTTTGATAAAGTTTTCGTGATGAATTTTGTAATTGTATCATCATTACTTTTGATATCGTGAAGAGAAGAAATTAAATTTTCATGTTCCTGGGAACACTTTTTGTTTATGCATGATTAGAAGAGAGTGTCATTGTTGACTCTAGGTTAACGAGAATTGAATAGAGAATGCTCTATCAAATTGAACGATAATTAAATGAAGTCAAGCTCATTCATGGGGATGAAAAAGAAAAAAAATTCTAAAATGACGATTTTATATCAAAATCCCATAGAAATTTGTCATGTGTATGCTGCAAATCCCTATTGCATGTACATGTATTATTATATCAATTAGATTGTGGACTTTTTAAACGATGCGCTTTGTCACTTCATTATGACCGAAAGGAATGTATCGTCTTCCTTTCTATTGAAGTAAGAATGTTTAACACAATATAATTTAAAAAATTTTGATTCCAATCCAATTCATTTGTTCGTATGTTTACATAACCGCACATTATTCATCCCCACGCCAGAATACCTGCAAGCCACTATGTAATGGCATAAATAGTCTACAAAGAAGTAACAGATTTGTTTATTGATTCTATCGTGTCTGCGCAATGACATCGTTATTCGTTTTTTGTAGGACCCGTGAAAAAGTAATTGACATCACCGAATCTTGTACATCCTCATAAATAATAACAATAATATTAATTTATGCGCTCGATTTAAGCAGCGTAGTTGTTGTTTGTTTGAGATGGAGATAAAGGATAATGAATACTTGATTGATAATATGTTTTGAACACATGCATAAAGGCATTACATTAACCGTATGTATTTGAACACATAATTGGAGAGAAAACATATTATCAAGCGAGCGTATATCTTTCAAAGATACGGAAATTTTCTCGAAGCAGAATCGATCACAATCATATGCAAAATCTACGATTGTTTTCTCCTTGAATGTTCTTTTCGATATACATGTAAAAATGTAGATTACAATGCATTGCGTATGCCAACGCCCTGTTGAACGTCACTCGCATATAATTCCAGTGCACAATCGCCGTGTTTGGAATTTAAGAAGATGCAAACAATTGTCATTCAAATGAAGTTAAATGACGAAAGATATTGAGTTTTTTTTTGTTAAAAAGAACACAGGTATTCACGTAATCAAAACTTAATCGTACATGTCAGAGATGCACATAGGAAGTTGGGGGCCTGTGCTCCAAATATGCTAGTCGATAGTGTGAATTTTATGTAAGTACATGTATATTCCGTCTCGGTTCTGTATTTGATCAATTTTTCTGAATTCACAGATTATGCATATCGCATATTAATAATTCATAGATATGTTTGGATAAAGTTTTCGTGCATACGTTAACCACTTTCATCCAAACACCCAAGTCCCATAGGTTGATTATTATCAATGACATATACATCTCGGAAAAATCACAAATCTCACATTACTATAAATGAAAAATTCCGTAAAATTCACGGTTACTTATTAATCGTTCCGAGAAATTTGCTAATTAAAAAGGATCAATTATCACATGTACATTATTAGTATCGGGTTCGTTTGATCAATAAAACAATTGAAAATGTTATTTTGCATAAAATTTAGTTAAATTAAGTCAACATAATTGATTTATTATCATGCACAAAAAGATTCTAACATAATAACGACAATTAATCGCTAATGAGGAGGCGCGGAAAGAGAAGTTATGAAAAAGACAATCTGGTTGGTGTAAATAACTACATAGATCCCATTTATTTAGTAGATATTTTCAACTTCTTTATAGAAACGCTCTAAAAAAGTAACTAGCTATAATTTCCCCACTTTCCGGATGAAAGGGGGGGGGGGTATTAGACATCAAAGAAAGCATGAAAGACTGGCTGGTAATAAATAACGATAACGATAAGAGCACATGTTCATGTACATGTACATGGTATTTCGTTTGTTTAATTTTATATTCTATTACTCCTTTTAGAAAAATAAATTGGAGATCTGTATTTTCAATGTTTGAAAAAATCACTTGATCGATAATAAGCGCTTCGCTTGTGAGAAATGCGTCTGTAGATGTCTCTAAAAAATTACGGAATATACGAAAAAAAGTCCGTTACATTTGTGTCGTAATGTGTTTTTCAATAACGTTTAACGTTTGTTGTCCTGCATAATCATACATGTATAAGCAGACATGCTTTTCGAATATAATTTTACATGTTTATTTCAATAAAGGAGTACTCTTAAGACCAATGGACTTCTTCGTATATTCTGTATTGAACATTCTTATATGGATAAAGTTTTCATTAACAATAGATGCTAAAATTATCGAGTTAGAATATTATGAATATCACGTGCTTTAATTTTAAAAGTCATGTGTAAATAAACTTTGTACCACTAAAAGTAATGCTATTGTGCTGTATGTATAATACAAAAAACTTTTGATAAGCTTAGAACTCGAAATTTACATATTCTTGTATTATTATTATTTAATAATTTTAATAGTCGAGACAATGCTGCTGCTGAAAATTGATGAGTTAAGAACATCGAAATAAAGGGAACACGCGTCTTGGGTAAAAGAGAGAGAAAAGTATAAAATCGAGTCAGAGAAGTTCTAGCAATCCTTCGTCAAGAATAAAATAACAAATCGTGCAAATAAGTTTACTTCTTATAAACATACTAGTAATATAATTGCAATTTACCATAACAGAAATTACCATTAAAATGTCGCCTATTACTTACCATCATTTCTATCAGAATTCGTATATCGTAAAAGCCAATTCTCTTTCGGGATATATTGACACTAGTGATAATAAATTCATTCGTGTTGTCTGCGAAGCAATAAACGGTGTTCAAAGCGTGATTGGTTACGTGACGATTGATGTCGATCTTAATTTAAAATTTGTGCTTAACGTCTTGAGAAAAACCAACCTTGTGATCGTAACAGATTCTGACATGATAGCCAGTGTAGACTATGTTCAAGATATCTTTTTATCATCCGAATGTGAATTTTATCGCCAGCTGGTGCAATATATCAAAAATTATAGGAAAATGTTTGGTAACATTCCAACTCAGATCCCAATCACTCTTCCATGCTCCTCAGATGACCTTAATGTGTTTCTTGCGTGGTTATGCGACAAAGACGATCTCAAATTGGAAGCGCATTTAACTTCAGAGAATTTACAAAGCATCTCGGAAGTGGCTTTTTATTTTAGAGTAGATCTTATTGCATTTGAAGTTCTGAAATTCGCTTTAGCGCGTTTCGATGTTTTAGAGGAGATCGAAAATATGAAGAAGAGAATGGAACGAATGAACGCAGAAGCTGATGCAGAGATCGAAAAAGATAAAAAGCGACTGAAAGGATTGACCTTGAGGAGAGAATCAAAGAACCAATGGTGGTTAGTAGAAGGTATTAAGGAAGCGAAATAACAATACGTTATCAAGAAATTACATTTTATTAATCGTTATTAAATCTTTTCTAGACACATGTATCTTTATGATAAGATGTATGAATATGTATGAGTATGTACCTACATGTAATTGTAAGTTTAGACATTTATTTTCATTAATCTCAGATTTTATTTTACACAACGTGCTCTATATATATTTTCCGTTCCGCTCTAGTTTTTATTTATTATACATAAGTTTAGTAAGCTCTCTCTTTTACTTATTTATTTTGTGGTTTTCTTTCATTGAAAACAAAAAATAATGAGCCTTTCAATTATCTTTATCTGAACTAAAATAAATATATCTATTTATCGTAAATAAGGTTTTTACTCGGGATATATTGAAAATTAAAACCGGTCATGTGGAGAACCCTAATATTACGGAGTCAGATTTAAAATTTCTGTTTGGCGTGTTACGAGAGCTAACATCAAAAACATGATGAACTCGAAGAAGGCACCTTCTACTATGCTAATCGATACAGGATATCTGACAATCCAATTGTATCCCATTGACTTTGATGCCTCTTTCGAAAGCTTACATGTTTGATTTTACCTTGAAAAGTTCTGTTAACTGAAAACTGAGGAGTTAAATCAAAAGCGTGAAAGGGAGAAGAAAATTCAGTGGCTAAAAGAATGCATCGAATTAGTAATATAAATTACAAGTTCATCATTACTTCAGCGGATTGCTTCAATTTTTGATTAAGGTTACATATACGAAAATAGTAAATCAGCTTTGGTATTTGACTTAAGGTTTTACGAATTTAAAATATGTACTCGCGTTGATACTATAGTTGCAGATGTATATAAACCATACAGAGACGCGTGAATTCTTGCATAGATTGATTTAAAAATTTTTTATTTAATAAATAGAATAAAAATAAGCCTTCTGGCTATGAACAACTCTATATAAAAAAAAATAATAATATTTCGAGGAAAAAAAAAAGGAGAATGAGCGCAATCACACAAGCAATCTATATTGATCTTTAGATTGATGGAAGAAAACGACTTAAAGAAAAATCGGCTTGATAATTTTTAAAAACGAATAAAAAAGAAAAAAAAAAGAGGAAAAACCAACACGAAACCCGGGCCACACACATAACCTTGAAAGGTTGTCGCCGTTGGTTTAAATACGATACGAATTTGAAACGAGACAGAAATTAACAAAGATACCTTTTTTCACAAAAAAAATTAAGCTAACGTTGTAAAAAATCACTCTTCATAATACGAAATTAATGTCTTTTGGATTAATCGATTCGAATGCATGGCGAGGTTGATGCGCATTAAATAGGGAAATTGCTGATAACATGTTCCGATTTTCAAAAATACTGTGTATTTTTAGAATAATGTGAATTGCTTCGTCTGTGAAACGAAACAATAAAAAAACATAATTGAGTTTATCTTTTACTCGATTTGTGTTGTTTTTATAATAAAGGTTGTCATCATTCATGACAGACTTTAGTCTCGAAATCATAAGATGAGAAAAAACGTATGAGAGCGAGTTGTTTTCATATTTATTTGCATATAATGATCTCTATTTCAGGGTCGTTTAAGGGACACTGAGGTATTTGATCTCATAATGAAAAAAAAGAATGAATACTTATGATCTTGAAGGAAAACAAAATTGCGACTTTTTATACTTTTATAAACATCCTTCTGATTCTTTCTAGCAAATTATTCAAAAGTGAACGTTCTCTTCAAAGATACAACATTTCACAAGGGTGAATATCTGCCGTGACGGCAGATAACATTATTATTGCAAAAGAACCAATCAACGATAATCCCTAACCCTACATACATTCTTTTGCAATAAAAGCAAATTATTTCTCACCCCGCATTTGGATATTATGTCAAACTTAAAGTTTAACGAGAATCATTTTGGCTTTTGTATTTGGTTTGCTGATTGTGTTGCACTCTGCAATTAATAACTCGGTTGTCGATTCCTGGATTGCTATTTTAATTTTGGTTAGATTCTATTTGCATGCCTATCCTTAGTTACTCATAATCGTAATGTCGTGACAATTGTTCTCATTTATAATCCGGTTAAATTATTTCCCATAGGTCAAAATGCAAGTCGTTTTTAATTGCTGATGCTGTATGGATCGAAAATTCGAAAACAGTTGATTACTTTCACTTAGCAGTCTCATATTTTCTACAACTAAAATTGTGCATTCCCAATTGTAGAACATCTCGCAAATAACAGACATTTCCAAAATTTTTTCGATATTTCACCGCATTTTCAATTATCTGACGTGCTATGAAGTTATGAACCAAACATACGTGCGCAACGCACAGCTTACCTAATCTAACAAACTTTTCATATATTCATTTTTCTCTGAAAGAAGAAATGAACGAATAGGATGCGTCGGTGAATAGGAAATTTCTTTTGTACATGTGCATACAGTGCCCCTCTAACTATTCCTTTACCCGTATTACGAAACATATTTGTGTAGGAACAAATGACAAAGTGGTAACATATAACTTTCCAATTGCAAATTAAAGTTTGGACTTTCCATCGATATTGTGTTATCTGATCTTCTCATTTTGTAAACGATTGTCTTACTATTACGATGTGCTCATACAATCATTTATAATTGTTGGTGTCGCGTTTTTCTTTGTGTCCAGGAATTCGGAGAATTTCAACAATGATTCTATTGCTTTTTTTATTGATCTTAAACTTTCGAAAAACTGAAATTAGGCAACTTGAAGATTAAGGAGAAAACTTAAAATTTCCTGGCAAATACGCATACATTACTTGAGTATCTTTCATTATCTCAACGATCGCTCATTAACTTTAAAACACCAGCGTCTTAATGGCACATTTACTGCAGTATACGATGCAATATGTTACGTATAGTCACTTAAAAAAACATGGTACACGGACGTGTACGAGTATCTATTAAGCACACGTAAATACAATTCTATTCGAAATCTATTAATCTGAGAAAAATTACATTGCATCGCATATCTGATATGCATCAATCAAAATCAATCAAATCGTCTCCATTCAAAATATCAACCAATGAAATATATCATTGCATAATCTTTCGTTGGCTGATATTTTAGCATTCAGGGGATTATTTATGCATTTGATGGTTCGTGCATACATAAGTCATCAGAAATTTTATTTAAACTTCTATTCTTTAGCCCAGTATGGATCACAAAAAAAACGATAAAAAAAATAGGGGTTGCGCCAATCATTCACGAATACAATAATTTTAACGATCTAATCGTAGATCTATTGGATATGAAAATTAGGCTGCATTTATTATTTAATGTCAAAAGCATAGGATGGGATGGGTACCTGTAAATAATATTCATAAAATACACGTAACAGAGAACCTTAAATGATGTCTAAAATGATTATAGGGCGTGAATTACATACAATCAGCTTATTATAAAATGCATGTAATATTACGCTGATTTAAACCATGAAACTTGGGTAAACTATTACTAATCCGGCAACTACCGTTGCATTTTCTTGTCAAAATTGAACTCTTCTCATTTTCGATTCTCTCTTCACTTTTTCTCCTCAATATCCAATTACACTAATCAAGCTAATTTCCCAAGCATGCACCATGCAAATGGTTTGCTTTTTCCATTTTACCCTCGCTATGGTTGTCAACTTTTTTGATGCTAGAGACGATAAGCAAAAATCTTCTTTAGGCACCGATTATTGTTTCATAGAGATCACGAATGTATATAAAATTGTCTTTACACAACCGTAATCACAAATGTGTTTGTAACGAAAGCTTGCCACAAATAAATCGGGCGTTGCACAAACCATGAAAAACAAAAATTCATTTATAATCTGTGCTCGGTTCCTGGTCACATGATAACATACCAAAAAAGTTAGAAGTAAAAAGGGTCTTCCCGATATTTTTCAATAGAGCTTCATGTCTCTCTAAAAGGGAAATATTTACTCCACTTAGATCAATGATTACAGGATGCAATCTGGTTATTAATAGATGTAACATATATTGTATACGTGGTGAACGCCGAGATATTTGTTCATTGATGGTGATTTACATATCGATATACATGTAATTTACCGCGCGTACATAGATTGCAACCTCACTCACTACAGGTATAGTAAAGAAGACAAAAAGAACATCCGACTAAAAACGGTTCTGTTTATTCTTGCTATTGAAAATCACTTGGAGAAGCAAATTCTATTACTGGAGCTGGTCACTTAAAAAAACAATAGCTCGGTCTCGTTTTAATAATAACACACACTTTACATTAATAATATCTTGGTAAATTTTTTATACTCCTTAATTACAACATAACAGTAGTAACCCAGTCCGTTCTATCAAAACTGCGAAAATTTAATGGCGTGTTTATAATTTTAACCACCAATTTAAATATATACGAATTAAGCTGGTATACAATGGCTAGAGTCTTGCGCGAAAATGCAAGTTTTTTTTAATTATCTAGGCTAAAGGTTAAACGAGCGCTTGTGCTAGCATTAATTATTCAAGTAATTAATGAATTTATCTTTTTGGAATGTTACGTTTCTCTTAACTGTCTTCAAATTTTAACTTTTAAAACATGTACAGTGAAATGTTTAATATACACATATAGTAATATAATGACACCATTGAAGTTGAAACTTGCATGCTAACAAAGGATGTTTATTTTGTTTAATTTACAATAAATCTCGAAAATTCAAAATGGTATGTACAAATGGATCGCAACAAAGATCTTAGTAACAGTGAATGCCATATTGTCGAAATACTCAAGAAACAAGGCATGTTTGCTGCAAAAACTGCACACATCATTGAACGAAGTGTCAAAAACTGTATTAAACGAATAAAATCGAGCTATTTGAAAGAAGGAATGGTGGTCGAAAACTCAATTGTTGATGTTCGTTCTGAACGTTGTTATCCCACGCGGGATCGTTTCGGGTGAATCACAAGAATTAATTGATCAGTCAGGTGAGTTCCTAATTATTAATTTCTAAGGTTATTTTGTTGTTATTTAATG